ACGCGAGAGCTGCAGTCGTCGCCGGAGATGTCCTCGTCCACGGATTGAAAGACTGGTTTAAACACGATGTTCAGCCGCAGAGCCACCAGTTAATCGATCGGATCTTTGATATACTCCGAGCTCCGTCTACCGAAGGAGATGATCGAGCTTTTTATCTTCACCTCTCCGGTCTCCGACTCCGACTCACTGAGAAATTCGTCCTCGACGTGCTTAACCATACCCGTAACGATATCCTCTCATGTCTCAAGTTCTTCGATTGGGCTGCTCGGCAACCTGGTTTCCATCACACTCGTGCCACTTTCCATGCCATCTTCAAGATCCTTCGCAGCGCAAAGCTCGTGACTCTCATGATCGATTTCTTGGACCGAAGCGTCGGTTTCGAAGGTTACCGACATTCTCTTCGTCTCTGCGATGCTCTCGTCATTGGGTATGCTGTTGCTGGTCGCACCGACATCGCTCTTCAGCATTTTGGTCATATGAGATTTCGAGGTTTGGATTTGGATTATTTTGGGTATCATGTCCTTCTGAACGCACTTGTGGAGGAGAAATGCTTTGATACTGTTGATGTCATGTTCGACCAGATCGTCGCTCGTGGATTCCTCTGTTCCGTTACGCATTCGATTCTGGTGAAGAAGTTGTGCAAGCAAGGCCAGCTTGATAAAGCTGAAGCTTATCTCCGCTCTTTGCTCCCCAATGATCCTGCTGGGTGTGGTGCTGGTTTAGGTATTTTGGTCGATGCTCTGTGTTCCAAAGAAAAGTTTCAGGAAGCTACTAAATTGTTAGACGATATCAAAGTGGTGGGAACAGTTCCTATGGAGCATGCTTATAGCATTTGGATTAGAGCTCTTATTAAAGCTGGATTCTTGAACAACACTGCGGATTTCTTGCAGAAAATTAGTCCTTTAGAAGGTTGTGAACTCGAAGTTATCAGGTACAACTCTTTGATCTTTCACCTTTTGAAGGAGAACAATGTTGGGAGTGTCTATGATGTCCTGACAGAGATGATGATACGTGGAGTTTCGCCTAATAAGAAAACGATGAATGCAGCTTTATGCTTCCTTTGCAAAGCCGGATTTGTAAATGAAGCCCTTGAATTATACCGGTCAAGGTCAGAAATTGGCTTTGCTCCTACCCCCATGTCTTACAACTATCTGATCCATACCCTCTGCGCCGACGGAAGTGTGCAACAAGCTTATGATGTATTGAAAGGGGCGATGGACCGAGGGCATTTTCTTGGTACAAAGACTTTTGTTATACTTACCAATGCTTTGTGCTGGAAGGGGAAGCCTGACATGGCGAAGGAGCTGGTTATTGTTGCTGCGGAGCGAGACTTATTGCCTAAACGATTAGGTGGTTGCCAGATTATATCAGCTCTTTGCGATGTTGGGAAAGTGGAGGATGCTCTTTTGATTAATGAGCTATTCAACAGATGTGGTGTAGCCACCACCTTCAAAATGTTTGTCAGCTTGATATACGGTTCAATCACATCAAAGAGGGGAGACACGGCTGCTAAACTTATCATCAGAATGCAGGAAAAAGGCTACACTCCGACCCGTAGTCTCTATCGAAATGTTATTCAATGCTTGTGTGCGATGGAAAGTGGTGACAAAAACTTTTTTACTACTTTGCTACAGTTTCAGTTTTCTCTTTGGGAACACAAAGTTAAGGCCTACAACTTATTCATCGAAGGAGCTGGGTTTGCAGGAAAACCAAACCTTGCAAGATTAGTGTATGATATGATGGATAGAGATGGGATCAGGCCAACACTAGATTCGAACATTCTCATGCTTCAGAGTTATCTTAAGAATGAGAAGATCGCTGATGCTCTTCACTTTTTTAGTGACCTGAGAGAAAAAGGTGAGACCAAAAGAATACTTTACAATGTCATGATTGTTGGCCTCTGTAGAGTAAATAGATTAGATGATGCTATACATTTCTGGGAAGAAATGAAGGTCGAAGGAAGAAAGCCTAGTATCGACTGTTACGAAGTAATGATACAAAAATTGTGCAACGAAGAAAAGTTTGAGGAGGCAGTTGGATTAGTCAATGAATTTAGGAAAAGCGGGAGACGTATTACATCCTTCATCGGTAATGTCCTTTTATATAATGCAACGAAGAGCAAAGGGGTGTATGAAGCGTGGACACGGATGAGAGATGTAGATGAGAAGATCCCTGAGATGAGGTCTCTCGGTGAGTTGATAGGAGTATTCTCAGGACGAGTAGATATGGCAGGAGAGCTTAAGCGGTTAGATGAGGTTATAGAGAAATGCTATCCGTTGGATATGTACACGTACAACATGCTGTTGAAAAGGGTTGTAATGGACCACGCGGAAGATGCATTTGAGTTGTTTGAAAGAGTAGTTCGGAGAGGGTATGAGCCTAATGAGTGGACTCAGATGATCCTTGATCGGGCTCAACGCATACTAGAGAGATCAAATTCGCAGTCAAACTTAGGGAGGAATGGTTGGAATAGCAGACAGAGGCAGCTTGAACGCTGAAAAGTATGTCACAGAGAGGTCAGTTGAATTAGTGAATAAGAAGGGTTAGATGTACCGAGCCTCATAGGAACTGGAGGAAGAATCTCCTCTGGATCGAGTTTGGATTGATTTATTTGTTCAGGGTTTTGGATCATCGACGACAGGTGATGAGAAAGCAATTTTGTTCTTCTACTCTCTTGATTTTGGATCTTCTCGAGGCTCTTTATAAGAGTACTTGGAGAAAGTCTCTGGAATGCAAAAGATCAGAGTCTTTTCGCAGAAGCTTTAAACAGAATTAGGTGGTATTAGCTTCACATCTACATTACCTACAAATTGTTTGTAATCTTGCCTAGAAACACAACACAAACTAAGATAGAGATTTCAACGGTTTAGTCACAATCTTTTATTGTTTATCAAGGAAATTTTTTGGTGCTCACTTTGGTTTTTCGAATATTTGTGTATCTGCGTTTACGAGTTAAATTGTTTTTTTTTTGCATTTTAAAATAAATCATATCTATAAATTTTGTAAACGCAAATGGAATCTCATTTCATCTTTCTTTAAATGAAAAAACTTACACCGAATCTCTCTTAATCTGTATATAAACATTTATAATGCCATTACTATACATATTTATTATAAATAAACAAAAAGAAAAAGAGAGAGAGAATGTGTGTACTGTGTGTACTACAGTTTAACGCCATTTGTACTGCAGAAAGACCTTTACGTACATACACACATCCCAGACCTGAAACTCTGACTTTGTCTATGAGACAAACCTCTGTATTCTTCTTACAAACAAGAAGAACACCGGAGAAGAAGATGATGATTCAGGTAAGAAAACTCTAATCCAG